AGGGGAGGGACGACTACTATTTTTTTACCAAAGAGGAGATGGAGTTGTGAGAATGGAAGCAAGAGGCCGGAGCAATACAAGGAAAGGACCATGAGCCAAGGAATGCAGGAGGCCCCTGGAAGCCAGAAAAAGCAGAAAACATTCTCCTCCAGAGCCTCTGGAAGCAACCACACTTGCCACACCTTGACCTTGGCCCAGTGAAACTGACTTCAGACTTTGGATCTCCCTAAGTGTCAGAGAACAAGTGTGGGCTGTGGTGTGCCACCACATTTGTGGTCATTTGTTACAGCAGCAGTAGGAAACTAATACAGATTTTGGCTTCATCAGGGCAGTGGACCTGACATTTGGAAGAGTTTGTCTTGGAGCCTCAGATTTCAGTGCTCCTGGAGATCTGTTACCAAGCCTCTGAGGAACTGCAAACATGTCCTTCCTGCCTCACATCTACTGTTACCCAACCAGAATGCAGTCAGATTAGAGACCACTATGTCTAATGAGTCATTCATGTATCCAACAAAAGGTTTGGAGTTGTCTTATGTGTCCCAGGGCTGCCATGCTGAGCACAATAGTGCTGGCTGCTTCTTGTGGGCCAAACTCCACCAAGGTGTGGGCTCTGCACCCCGCTCAGTTCAAGTCCCAGCAAATCCACTCACCAGTGTGTGACTTTGGGCACCTTACTTGCCTTCTCTACCCCATAATTTTCTTATCCACAAAACAAGGATAATAAACTTCCCACTTGACAGGGCTTTCCTGGAAATCAAGTGAGAAATCAATTTGCCTTCCACACAGGTCGTGCTCAATGGGAACCTTGGCTATCATTTCTCAGTGGTTTGATAGGTTGTGATCTGTGTTTGATAGCCTTTATGTGTCATGTGACAGCCTTCCAGCCCATTTTTTCAGTCTGATTCCTCTCAACATCCAGCCTAAATGAGCCCCAAGGGCCAGGCTGAACAGATGGCCAGTCCCCCTGTCCTTCTAGGAAGACCAGGGCTCCAGGCCATTGTCAGGAGTCCTGTGGTCTTCAGAAGAGTGAACACAATCAGTTCACCACTGAAAAATGCGGAATTCTCTGAGGGAGGCCCAGCCTGCTACAAGGCACCTCAGGCGACTCTGCCCCTGACGGTAATCAAAGTAGAGAACAGGACGGCTTTGTGCACCAAGGGTCAGTTTATAGAAGACAGGCCGCTGACGGGCCTAACACAGGAATGGTTGCCTACAGCAGAGGAGAACTGAGAAGAGAATTTCTGACTCACTATGATGGGATGTCAATGGAGGGAAACCCAGACAGCTTCAGCTCAGAGCCGGCAGTTGCCGTGTGTGGGGGGGGCTGTGGTCAGATACGGCAGTGTGTTCAGAGCTGCTTGGCGTCTTTGCTTAAGAGGAACCAGCCATCCTTGCAATGGCTGTGAGAGGCAGTCCCAACACAGGGGAGTGAGCCTCCCCAACCCGTGAGAAGGGAGAGAGCGACCACCTTTTACAAGATGCATTTAACTTAATGATCCTTCCTAGTTTACAAGATGGAGTTGTAATGACCCTCAAAAAGCAGCTGCTCTACCCAAGCACCCACGCCACGCCCTCCCTCCAGGGTCATAGGATTCATTAAGACATTCCAGAACAACTGTTCAAAAGACTGGATTCACACAGCCAACTCAACAGCAACCCAAAAAGTCCTGTTTCTTCTGCTTCTTCAAAAAAAATTTTTTGAGTGTGTGTGGAGGGGTACTTAACAAGTTTGGTCAATAAGTATTAACTAATTTTATAATCAGAAAAAAAGAAAACTGTCATTTTTTGGAAGTTTCTTATGCCCAAAGGCCAAAAATTAAAAAATCCCCAATTGGGTTGCTTTCTTAGTTGACTACCTGGTAGTAATTAGGCATCATGCAGACACCAACCAATCCTTCTGCTGTGGGATCTCTTTCAAACCAGTTCACCAAATGAGGACCCAGTTCTGGGAGCAGATTGCCTTGCCTGTCTCCACACTACATCCCTAAGTTGCAAAACGGCTTCCTTAAGAAGACAAACTCTTCTCCAGGTGTTTGCACATGTATGGGCTTTCACTGGAACACAGTACAGAGGCGTGCTTGCTAATGCACGCTTTTTGTTCTATGGGGGCAGGGTCGGGAGGGCAGGACAGGGATGGGCAGGGGAGTGGGCCTGCTCTCCAAATCCCGGCTCCAGTGCCAGCCTGCCAGACTGTGCACACAGACATGACAGGGGATTGTCAAAATGCACCACAAACAATGTGGCTAATGTACCGAGATCCCCTGCAAAGAAGCTCAAACACAAGTGAGAAAGAGCCAGGAGATACCCAAGTCCCCATGGAGTCCCAGAAAAGGAACAGCTTTGGGGAAGTTTGATCTGCTTCCTCCGTTGATCCCCTTCTCCAGAGAGATCAGAGGGGGCGCAAGGAGAAAGAAAGACTGGACTCTGGCTCTGCCCTGGAATAGCCTGTAAGCAGTTCAGGCAGAATTTCTGTACACAATGGATGAGTGAAATATGAACCACGCTGCCAACATCAGCAGGACAAGCAAGCCCTGTGTATTCCACTCCAGAGGGGCCTAGACACATTTCAGAAATAGCAGGGACTCTGCAGACTGGGACACTAACTCCTGTCCTGGGCTGACAGTCACATAATACAAGTTAATTTTTGTTTTGCAAGATAATGCTAAGGACAGAGGGGAGTGGGACAATTCGGGCCCCTTCTGGAATCATATGAACTGGTCATAATTCTGACAAGGGTGTAAGGACACCTTTCCTAATCAAGGATGTTCTCAAAAATCATCATCATCATCATCTAATGGACTCATGGGGCTTGAGGCCATCTCATCTAAGTAACAGATAAAGAGCTGACTCCCAGAGAAACCTAGCCAACGGCCTCAGATCATTCTGTGGCACAATCAGGATCCCAAGTTCTCAGACTTCTGGGCCCATCATCATCATATGTTCAAATGATCAATGAGTATCTCTGAATTCTGGGGTTTTCCCTTTCCTGGGCTTTTGCAAAGGGTGTGGACAAGTCCCATCTGAGGGTGTATTCACACCACTTGAACAAGATGGAATAAACAAAAATGAAAGTTTTTCCGAAGTTTGTTTCATTTGAAAGCACAGGAAAGGAGTTGATGTGTTCGCTGTTTTGGAGAACAGTTCAAACTTGTGTTCTGTGGATAAACCTGCAATATAATGTGCCATCGTTCAAAAGTTTTCTTTTGGCCTTTTATTTTTGAATTAAAACTTTTTAATTCTCTCCTTAGCTTGGAAATTGGAGGGAATTTAACAACAGAAGAGTCGATAATGGCTGTTGTCCAGCAGAGATCACAGAAATGGTTCTAAATTTGGGGGTGGGTTGGGGGTTGAGGACAGGGCGATGTCACAAAAGAGTACATGGAGCAATAATGCTTCTAAATCTGCCCTGGCCGGTTTGGCTCAGTGGATGCAGCGTCGGCCTGCGACTGAAGGGTCCCAGGTTCGATTCCAGCCAAGGGCATTTACCTTGGTTGCAGGCACATCCCCAGTAGGAGGTGTGCACGAGGCAGCTGATCGATGTTTCTCTCCCATCGATGTTTCTAACTCTCTATCCCTCTCCCTTCCTCTCTGTGGAAAGTCAATAAAATATATATTTAAAAAAATAATGCTTCTAAATCTTTGAAATGGAAATAAGACAATTCACCATTGTGAGGAAAGTATCAGAGGCAGACCGTGGATGGCATTTGAGTTTGGGTGCTTTAATTTTGTGAACAGGTGTTTTACCAAACTCAGTCAGGCACGCAGTACCTGGGAAGAATCTGCTCCCCTCCCAGAGTCCTAGACTCAGGAAATACTAAAATGAAGTTCTGTGATGATGAACCGGCTTTTTGAATAATTTTAAAAACAGAAAGGTTTAGAGAATAGACATTGAGCTCAGAAGGCAGGCTCTGGGTGTCCCCACTTCTGTGGCCTACTGTCTGCCTGGCAACCAACCCAGGGGCCCAAATGGGAACCGCACCACAGTGCATGTAGATTTTTTGAAAGGGGAATAACACGTAAATGTCACAAAGTAAGAATGAGATACTGAAGTCTTGGTTTCTCTATTTCCTGATCTGCTTAAAAAACAAAAAGTGGTTTTAAATGGACTTCAACCGAGACACTTGCTAGGTACTTGTTGAATACATAAAAAGCGCTTAAATTCAATTTTTTTACTTCATAAACTTCACTGTTAGAAATATGAGAGGAGTTCACAAATGCCAATGCAATAACCACATAGTATTTTTTTTCTATTATGTTGGCTTTTTAAATGTTTTAGAGAAATAACCCAAATTTGTGTACATATTTCTCAAGTAATCTATGGATGAGCTAATGCAACTATTTCAAAACTGAGGCAAAACAGGTTGAAAATTAATTAGAGGTAGTTTACTCAAAAATATTTAAGCAATATTTAAGATCTACGATCTTGTTATGTTTTTCTAGGTGAGACCCTCTCTAGTATTGCTCTCCTAGTGTGTCTTATATTTACTTTAAATGAAGAAAAAACAAAACCATTGAAACCATGAAAATATATAACCTTCTAAGAAACTGAATCATATATAGCAATCATATATTTTTTTCAAATCTCTCATATCTTCTGGAAATATCTTAGAATGTTGACTCAATATACAGGATGATAAAATGACATTTTCCTGAAGGAATAAAATCAAATATGCCACTATAGTACCTAAAACAAATGGAGCTAGAGTAGAGTTGGGGATTTTTCTGTGTGCCCCCCCACCCCCACCTTCTCCCACCCTAAGAATGCCAAGAATTTCAACTCCCTGTTCTTAAGGTGAAAGGGCATTCATTAACTCAGATCTGTTCGTGAAGAAGCAAGGTAGTGAATCCTGAGACACTGGAACCAACCATACCACAAAATCTCCCAAGTTTCAGATGGCAATAGATGATGATTTCCTTTGGTGCCTCAAAAGAAACTGAAAACAACATTGGAATTGTAGATCATTAATTAGGACCCAGTAAGATCTCCATCTGCATCTCAGTGATTCTCGACTCCTTTATTTCAACATTTAACTTTAGGTTTAAAATATTTGCTAAGAAAGCAGAAAGGTGATTAACAGAAGTTTTTAAATGTGTGTCATAGTTACACATTCGGTCAACAGAGGAAAAGGAAACTATACAGCATAAGTTACAAAACGGTTATTTCGTGTTTCGCAAACATTCCAATAAACTCTCCATGTGGTGTTACTCAATTCGACAGTAGAAAGCAACAGAAATGACCTCAAGAACCAGCCCAGCTCCTTCACGTCTTGCAGAGAACAGTGAGGAATCCCTCAGCGGCAGTCCGCCTGGGAATCTCAGCGAGGACATCTCGTTTCTCCTGCGAGAAGACTGGCTCCTCATTCGAGGTGCACAAGGAAGAGAGAGCTGCAGCTCACTGAGGGACCCCGGAAGTTACTCCCACCCCAGCGTAAATCCTCGGACTGCATGGAAGGCTCTATAGAGCCCAGTTTCCCAAAGGAATAAACGTGGATGATCTGGGGTTTGCATGATCTCCTAGTGAATAACTTCACATGTTTGGGTGCTGTTTCTTTTTAAACTTCTTTTTCTTAAATTAGCGAGAGCTACCAGGTTCTAGAAGAGCGTGGCCACACTTTGATACGATGTTATTGGGTTGTTTTAAAATATTTCCACTTTATTATTATTTTATATTATTATTCCCACAGATTAGATTAAAGGCAGCGATCACTAACACAGAGTACAACAGGGCTAACAATCAGCCAGGCTGCTCCCCGGACCAGGGCTGTCCGGCCTAAGGCGCTGACATGCATGTCGGTAGCTCATACACTGCTACCCTCATAGCACAGGCTGCGGGAGGAGTGAGTGAAACGACAGATGCTGCTGTACCCTTAGAAGCTATTTAATAAATATCATCAAAAAACAAAAGGGAAAAGAAGCCCTCTGGAGCACAATCACCTCAGGTCAATTGAATATTATCTAGTTTATTCAACCAAAAATTGAGAGAGAAGAAAAATATTAAACAAAAAAAAAAGCAGATCTTAACACTAGCAGTAAATAAATTTGTACAACGATTCAGTCTGTATAATATGATGAAATAAATCTACATCTTTTCTTATTTTGGTGCTTTGAATTATACATACAAACAACAATTACAGGGACTGGATCACGCAGCATGTAGGCCTGGGAAAAGGCTATCTGAAACCCTCGATGGCAAAATGTGAGTGTTAACACGGATTGCCCGAACTGATACAATTTCCTAAGCAGAGGCCCACAGCTTTGAACAAATGATTCGCCTACGACTTTTTTTTTTGTTCTTTTTTTTTTCTTTTTTTCTTTTTTTTTTTTTTAAATGCATCAAGCACCTGTGGCCAGTGAAGGGAAACAAAACTGGCCGTTTGTCCATTTGGACATCAGACCTAGTTTCTTCTTAATTTCCATACTTGGTTTCCCCCATCTTCCTTAAAATTCTTGGCATCCTTTGTGCCTTCCTTACCGCTACCCAGATGCAATAAAGTCTTCTTCAAATGTACAGTATTTCTTACATTATAAGTTATATGCAATGTTCAGCATTTTTTTTTTTCACAGCACTAGAGAGACCCTGTTAAATAGGGAACATGAGTCTGAATGGCTTATTCACAAATGGGATCCAGATTCGGTGATTGGGAACGCAGACGCCACAGTGAGCTCCTCGGCAAAAGTGGCAAACATTTTGCCTTCTGCCTTCAGAACAAACAGATATCCATCGGTTCTCGGTTTCATGATAGACTCCTGCAAAAATGCACGTAGAGGGGGCTGGAGGCACTCTTGCCTGGAGGCCTTTGAGCATCGAGCCGAGAATCTAACCCATGGCGGTGACCATACTGGAAGGGTGGTGAGGTCCAAAGGAGAGGCTGGACGGCGGGTGCATCGGCGTCGGAGTGGTCAGCATGTGGCTGGAGTGGCTGAAGGGCGAAATGTGGCTGAGGGAGGACATGTGTCTGGAGAGGGCGGCTGGGTTGAAGGAGCTGCTCTTGGGGAAGTCCTCCAGCGTGTCATGTACCTTTTTGCACTTTTTGGATTTGCTAGACATTTTTCGGTTTCTGGTCTGGATGCCTTCCTTCTTCATAGTCAGGGGTCTGTTAATCTAAACAAAGATCAATTTTTTTTTTTTTTACTTTGTTGCTGGCTCTGAAATGGTACAGGCTTTCCCACTCCAACACAGGTCCCTCTGACTGCCCAGCTCGGGGCTCTGCTTTCCTGGGGCCCCTTCCGCCCACCCCATCCTGCCTCCTCCCCGGGGACCCACGGGCCCGCAGGCTAGGTCTGCGGCGGAGCTCTGACTGTCAGCCTCTATCAGTTTCCGAAACCAAGAGACCAGAGGAAAGGTGTTCCAAGCAGAGGTTATTAATCATGTTCATCCACATCAGCCACTTGGGGGAAATCTGCCTGCGGGAACTCTGGGTTCCCAAGGACCACATTCTAGAGACCTACCCAAAAGGGCTGTGTTTCCCTAAAATATAGTAACTTGTCTTATTCATTAGGATTTCCTTAGACTATTTCATCGGGATGGAGGCATCTTCAAGGGGGAAATAACATTTTGTCTCCTCCCCTGAAATTCGTGTTGGACTTTAAAAGCACTACCGAGGCGGCCAGAGGTGTTTATGTGCATCTGCTTCGGGAAACTAGGACTGTACCCCGATTCAAAGTAAATTTTGGCTGCCTCTCTTCTACCTGCCCTTTGGCAGAGAGGTGCTGTCAAATCTGCCCCAGGAATTTGTATGTTCTGGAGTCATATTTTAATACAACCTATCTTTTCAGAAGGTCATCTCTTGCCCATGTCACAGCAACTGCAATGACTGAAAATTGCAATTTCTACCTAGTTCTGACTCTCCCCTGCTAACTAGGCAAACAGCTAAACCACTTGGGGGATGCAAAGCACTGTCCTAGCATGAACGTGCTCTCATCCTAAAAATCAAAGACCAGGCAAGAACTAAAGACAGAGGCAAGCAACTACTCGAAAGGTCACAAGTCTTCAGCCTTTGAGACAGCATACCACCTCTCTCTTCTCCATGAGACTCACTGATCTTCTTTTAAAGATACATTTGCTTTGGGGGCGGGGGCGGGGGTAGGCTGAATCAAGACAGGGGACATTGCAAAGCCACAGAGACCACTCTCCATGAGGAGTCAGAATCAGATTAACCGCAATAGCAGCCATCTGTCCCGTGCAGCAAACCACATCTGGCCTCCTTTCCAGGGATTGCGGCAAAGCAACTCAAGGAGGGAATGCCAGGGTCTCGGTCATTCCTGACTCCTGGGAAAAAACATCTTCAAGGGTGAAAAAAAAAGAAGTTTCTCATGGCTCTAGGATCTACCTGTATGTTCCAAAAGTGAACAAACAGCAGTTAAGGAAGAAAGAATTCAAACAGCCAAGAGGGACGGGCTGCTGACCACGCTTCTGAGAGCAGCAAACACACAGCTTCCTGGAGCTGAGCTAGGAGAGGTCATGGGGAGGGGGGGAGGGGTGTCGGGGCCGGGGGGCAGTGGCAGGGGGTGGGGGGTACAGAACCTCACACTGGAGCTGAGACCTGATTTCCCCTTGTGCCAGGAAGGCAGCGTAAGTGATGGCAGAAGAGCTAAAAGGTCGTTGCCAAAAGAACATCTCTGGGTTCCTTCTTCAAAGTTATAATCAAGGTAAAGGTGCTGCCTACAGAGGTGATAGGAATCTACTGTCACATCAAATCTTCCCCCAGATAATGTCCGGACACACAGCTCTTTACCGGGATATCTAGATACACACAGCCAGATATCTAAATATAACATCTAGTTACACCGATAGCCACACAAACCCAGATAACTAGTCCCAACACCACCTAGATTCACTGATACTGAGATAGGTAGTTATCTAAGCACATAGATAAGCAGAAAGGGAACTAACTTATGGCATACATATGCAGGTATCTCGATGGGCAGAACAAACAACAACACGAAGAGAATGTTAATGGATTAGTATCTCTTATTGTTAAATACACAAAAATAGCCCCCTTTTGTGAATTCTTACTAAACCAGAGAAGACAGAAAAGCCACTCTTACTGATGAGCAAGTTTCTCTCCCACAGGAGCCCAGCCATGAAGTCATGAGCTAATTAAGAATAGGAGGAGAATAAGCGGTGAAGAGAGTGCCTGGACTTTTCTTTGATTTGATGAGAAATTCATAATATTCAGAAACATTTATCTTAGCTTGGACACAAGTGAGATCATATCTCATCATGGCTAAGGAGTCAAAGAAACTCATACCTGGTTAATTTCCCATACTTCTATGGAAATAGGAAAGAAATATACTAACACACACAATTCATTGCTTTGAATTGAACTCGGGTGCATTCTACAACGAGAAGGCATTGAGTTTCCACTGGTCCCCATCAGTTCTGATGCTCCCCGGGAAAGCCATCAGCTCCTCTGAAATCGGTCCTGCCTCTGTCACTTCACCAGCCATGTTCCCTTGCACAAGTTACTTGCTTCTCTGAGTCATAATTTCTTTAAGTAAACCGGAAATAGAAATAATTTCTGCTCTGTCTACCTCATGAGACTATTTGAGGCTCCACTGTAATCAAGTAACATGAAAGGTTCTTTGAAAATCATAAATTACAACCCCAAAATAATTTTATAGGCTGTGCTGATGACTGGAGAGCTCATAAACGCGAATGCCCCAAATCTTCCAGATTTTCAACACCAATCTGTTTCTCTCCACTGCAGTGAGCAAGTAAATTCCCCCAAGGGAGAACGGACTTGGGCTTCCATGCTGACACAGGCCAGGGATCTGAGAGAGAAGAACCGACTCTGGGAAGACCCTGGTTCCATCAGTGCTGGCCCTGCTCGGGCCCGTAGCAAGAGGGTGGCACTGAAGGCAGGGAGGTGAGTTTTGCAGGCTCTCTGGGAATCTCAGCAACTTATCCCCAAAAGGTAAAAAAGGACAAGGGTGCTGGGGTCACCCTAAGAAGTTCTCCTGTGACTCAAAAAATTTAACCAGAAACACTTCCTCCCCAGTTCCCAGGTATTCCTGGGTAAGAAGAAGTGACTGCCAGAATGGCCGTGAGCAAAACGCTCTGCCTTTTCCCCGTTCAGCCCCAGACTTTGCCAAAGTCAGATTGGCCACGAGACTTTCGGAAAATCAGACGGAGCCAAAGAAGAGAGCGACAGCGAGAGGGAAAGGACAATTCTGTCTCTGGGACTAAGGCAAACTTCAGGCCTCACTAGGTCATAGCTATTAGCCAGAGTGGTTTGGGGGGGAATTTTTTTTTAAGGCAAAGACACTGCAACATGGGTGGTCCCCAAATTAAAAGGTTAGAACTGACAAAGCTAAACCCAGGTGACTGACAATTATCATTCTGCTAATGACATATAGAAGGAGAAAGGCAGGGTTTCTTTTCCCTGGTCTGGGTAAGCACTCTGGGATTTTTTCCTCAGTTTTCCTCAGTTCTCTGCTGAGTAGGACAAAGCCAGCAGATGAAATCTCTCAGACATTTCATCTCCTGTCTTCTATACAGAGAATCCATTTAAAATTCACAGCACAGGGTAAGCCAAGACTTGCCCCTCAGTAACTGAATCTCGGGCCTCTGCGCTTCAGGAATTTCTATGCCATGCATTACAATTCTAGTTACTTTGCTCTTTTTTTTTGCCAGAAATATAAACACAAAGAAACATCAAAACATAAATGGTGACTTGTTTTTGTTTTCCAAGGGGAAGTTTTTTTCCCTTAAAAACCCAGACCCGAATCCACCACCCATGTTAGATCGCTGCATTACCTGCAGTGTTTCCTGATATTCTCCGCACCTACCACGGTGGCTGGATTGTCTGTCTTTAAGCCCTTCACTCTCAGCAAGGCTACGCTGTACAGAGCAGTTCCCTACACTGGGTTCTGCTGCACTGATTATCGGAGGCCTGTCGTTCGGCCCAGAGAACAGCATGCAGATTGAGAAGGGGGAACCTGGAAGGGTGACGCTGTGCACTGGGCATCGTCAGCAAGGGCGACGGCTGGGGCTGGCCCCCCTGACACTTACATTGTGCAGCTTGTAGTAGAGCCCGCAGGCGTTGCAGACAGGGTCCCCGTTGGCATTCCTTCTCCAGAGCGTGGTAGTGGTGGTTTGACAGTTTGCACAGGACGTTCCTGCCCTTCTTGCTGCCGACTGGGGAGTGGAGAGAGGGGAGGAGGGGGGAAATCAAAACAAATGTTAAATGTGTTTTCAGAACTACAGAGACAGACATAAAAAAATTATCATTGAAATCAAAACTAGCAAGTGGCCCACATGAAAGTAAGGAAGATCCCCAAAAGCAGCCTCAAAAAGAAAAATGTAGAAGATCCACTGGCAGAGGAGCGTGCCAGCCTGCAGCCGCGTGGTCAGAATTTAGCCTGCTGCGCTCCTGTGTAGAATTTGGGAGGATCAGTTAAGCCAATACTACCCTCTGAGTCAATTTCCCCCTCTCCCTACCCCACAAAGTCCACCAGATGTTTAGTTTTCACGAGCGGCCATTCTGAATTAACCAGTAGCCTCCTTCGCCAGGCCCACAAAAGGTCTTTTTCAAGTGCAACTGCTCGGATATGACTTCTCAGTGAGGCGCCTGGCCATCACAATTACTAACAGCAAAGTAAGCACAATCCCAAAGGCACCAAAAGCACTTCATAGACCCCAATAAAACAAGGCTGGCTTATAAAGAACAGAGTGCTAACGGAATGAGAATGTCTGTGCCGGGGTGAGCTTGCATACATGGGGTGCATAATTTAGGAAGCACCAAGCAGGACATCCAGCGTGAACAAGACCTCAGCAAATTCACGGCAGTCCTACGGTGACACCGCCCACACTCAGACTCGGTCACTCACGGTGACAGCCATCCTCATTCTCTTTAGGCAGCTTGTAGTTAATGAGACAAACTATAAAGAGGGGATTTTGGTCTTCAACGGGAACGTGGCCCCTCCTCCTGCTCTCATCTCATCCCACCTTCTGGAAATTAGGTATTTCCTATTTGCTGTTCACGGAGCACAATAGTCGCAGGTCAGATGTCAGCCTCAACTTGAATGTTAATTATTTGATTGTGTCACTGCCTTCATTTCTTTTAAAAGAGAAATTTATCTTTCACTTTCTTTTGGCACACATTTACAAGGGGACTATTCTCTATGTCCATACTGTCAAAAAGAAAATTAAACTCAAAAACTTTGGGGGGAAAATGGAGTTGGGTCACTTCTAACATTCACCTCTCAACTCAGCCCGTCCCCCACAACATAAAAAGAAAATTTTAACCACAAAATTATTCCTGCCCCTGAACTCAAAAATATTATGAAAGGCAAGAGGAGGAGAAAGAATTCAGCTAGCTTGATAAAAAAAAAAAAAAATCTGGCATAGTTATAAAAGCATAGGACAAAAGGGACAGAAATTGTGGCGTCCTTTTCCATCAAAATTTTATCAAAGATCTGAAGCTGTCGGGTATGGAAAACCCAATGGTCATCCTGAGTTAACCAGACTGCTTCCTTTCCTTTCAAAGCCACTAAATTGCTCTACAGATATGTTCCTCCATCCTACAGGCTTAAATAGCAGAGCCTCTCTTTTTTGTAGTAGCAGTACTTATTTTCTGCATTCTAAGGGACTGGAAATTAAAAACAGCCCTTATCTATCGTAATCAAAAAGGTTCTACTTTTTGGACGCCTGCTTTAAAAATAATTCAATACAACCTACCTGCCTCTAACCCCACCTGCCTTTATGAAATGTGATAATTTAACACTCAAATAACTGGTTCTTCTGTATTCTTGGGAAGAAAAAAGTACATTAAATCAGTGCTTAATGATTTTGACAATTATGTTATTATGTGATTATTATGATCTTCCTGTACTTTTTTTTTTTCCTTTAAAAGAAATACTCGGATATAGTAGACTAATATCTACTCAGCCACCGGATTTCCCAGCCCAACAACTTGGAATGTATCACACAAGTACATCAGGCCAACTGGTAAAATTAGAGTGTGTCCTTTGCAGTATATTGGCAGTTTCATAAATAGGAGCAGACTCAGAAAACATCTCCGGTCTACAGACTTTATGCGAATTTATGCAGAACCTCCCAAAGGCACACTGTTTGATTCACTAGCAGGAGACAAAGTACATTAATAAAGCAAGCTAGTCGGCTGGTTGTCAGACCTACGAAAATTTTGGCGACACTGAGGGACGAATTCTATGGCTCTTCCCTTCGGTCACTTCTCCCATTTCCTGCATGAGTTTACTCAGTGTTAGATATGCATCTGACGGGGAGCTAGCTACATGTTGGGCTGGGTGGCCCTCAGTGAATCTGCAACTGTGCAAAACATGAAAATAACAAACTGGAGAGACAAAGCTGGGATGGAGGGACAGGAAATATAAGAGAGAAGAAAAAGAAAGATTCTAGGTACTCAAATGCATCTAAGGGCTAAAAAAAAAAAAAAACCTGAATGTGCTCCGAGTGTCTCTCGGGACAGAGCATATGAATTCTATGGAACTAAAACTATAAAACCACCCAGAACAGATGAGTAAGACAGAAAAGACAGCTGAAAATGTGACAGCCAATGAACTCTAGAATTAAAAGTAATTATTACTCAGAGTCTAGTGATTGCTTCTGAAAGGTGAGTGAAGACAATATTATACAAAATGCAAGGAGAGCCTCCTATGCAACCTGCCCAGACAGAAGAAACCCCAAGAAAATGTCAAATGTACTCTCGCTCATCAATCAGCCCACAGTCTGAGACTTTACTTCCCCTTTTTCCTTCTTTACTTTTACCTTAAAAAAAAAAGAAGCTCAATTATAATAGTACCATGACTTATTTTTAACAAGAGGTTTTTGTTGCTAGTTTTTTCTTTTTAACTTTTTTTCTTAATGAAGGCCAGGTTTTGAGTGATTCAGAACATTCTTTTGTGGTGTGATCATATTCATTCTGTGCTAACACCTCCAGCCATTTTTTTTTTTTTTTTCAAACACGTCTTGTTCTGATCCGTTCAAACATCTTGACGTGTAGGTTAGGGAAGCTGAGTTGTTGTTTATGAGTTATCTCCAGTGCTCAGATATCCGGCAGCTTTTTCCTAGGAAGTTAGCTTTGCACATGAGAGAAAGGAAAAAAAAAATACCAAAGTGCATGGGGACCAGAAGGTTGAGAAAGTTGGAGAAAGGGGCAAAGATCAGAAAGAATAAAGCCTAGAGACTAAGGATTGCCAAAAATTAGTCACGTGGGCACTTCCATCCCTAGAAAGTTTTTCCTTCTTCTGAAGAGGATGTGAAAGGTGTTGAATTGCACTAAAATCTGATGGGAAAGACACATAATTCTTTTTTAAAAAAATAGAAAAGGATTTGGATTTTTTTCCCCCTTAGAATTTGATGGATGCTTCTTCAACATTAATTTGCATGGGGAAAACCCCCTCCTCCCCACTCTACATGGTGAATGTCAACACCACAAAAAACATTTTGATTTCTCCACTGTGGTTGTAAAGTTATGCTCTGCCAAGCCTGCTTTTATTTGTCTGTTACATGCACTTGCTATTCAAGCTGGCCTGAGGTTCCGAGGACAAGTTGACAAATGAACTTCTGCTAGTTTTCCTAATAAATGCTTGATAGCGCCAGGTTTTCTCAAATGTTTGTAAAGGGTTAAGAAGTTTAAGAAAGAGAAAAGAGGGGGGATAAAAACTAGCACTCTAGTGATAGTAGTTCAATGGGGGGATCTAAGACCAAATGCTGGGTGACACCAAGAGGCAATCCGGGAATCACACAATTTTTCCCACAGGAATTACGTGTGGAAAGTCCTCACTTTCTAAGATGAAAAACTCCACTGCATACAATGTCTTCAGCTTGTGAAATCCTGTTAACTGGCCCCATTAATCTTAAATCACTGGCATGAGATTCATCCAGCACTGAGGCTGTGATCACTTCTACCACTTCAGGACCAAGTTCTGGGGGGTGCCTGGGACATTCTAGTCTCATCCTAGGTTTCTCCATCTGACTGTCATTATCAATGCATCTTAAGTCAGTGGTCCTGGTCCTGTTAAAGCACTCCTGCTATTAGCGAATACATTTCCGATTTGATAACCAAGAAGTCAGCACCCTTAACAATTTGGTAAGTGACTGGAGAGGAAAATAATGAGAGAGAAAGCTTTTCTGTGCATCTAATTTGAAAAAAGAAAGAGGGGGAGGGGGGCACTATCCCTAGCAAGCTGACATGACTTTGAGCTGTCCTGCCAATTTCCTGCCGAAAGCTCTCCTTCCGGGAGAGAGGAAATTAAAAACACCAAACGGTTAGTATTGGATCAATGCTTCCCAAAGACAACTCACCAGCCTTCGCTTGGGCTTAATCAGGGGTCGGTTCTGTCCGTTCATCTTGTGGTAGAGCCCACAGGCGTTGCACAGGTAGTGCCCAGTGCCATCTCGTCGCCACAGTGGGGTAGAGGTCGCCCCGCAGTTCACACACTCCCTGCCTTCTAGAAACAAGATCACACATAAGTCACTTATGGAAGGGAAAAAAAACGCAGAAAAGCTGATAGTGCACAGAATTAGAGAATGACAGTCAAATAGAGAAGTTTTTTTTTTTCTCTCTTCTCCCTCTTTTAGGGAACTTTCCCACCCCATCTCCCTTGAAGGTGGCTGCCATGCTGACAAGAGTTCTTGAATGGCCAGCTCATGGCCTAACCCCCGTGGTCGGCAAACTGCGGCTCGCAAGCCACATGCGGCTCTTTGGCCCCTTGAGTGTGGCTCTTCCTAAGCCTTAGGAGTACCCTGATTAAGTTAATAACAATGTACCTACCTATATAGTTTAAGTTTAAAAAATTTGGCTCTCAAAAGAAATTTTAATCATTGTACTGTTGATATTTGGCTCTGTTGACTAATGAGTTTGCCGACCACTGGCCTAACCCATACACATAGAAGTGGACCATGAATAAATTGCCGCAGAACCTTGTTCTGGGCCTGCCCAGTGCTGAGGACCAAGGCAAATTTCAACTCGAAAGAGTTCCCTGAGAAAATTCGGAGCCCCAGACACCCAAAGGCAAACATTCCACTCATTTCCCTCAAAGGAAAACAAAAGTGACTCATTCTCATCGGTAGGTCTGTCTATACAGATTGATTAAGTAATAAAGATTAGGATGGGGAGAAAGGGAAGATGAATCAATGGCAAGATAGGTAAACGGATAGTAAATAGATGAATAGATTGATCAATTGGCTGACTGATTTTAGTGGCGAGGGCTTTTGATTTTACTTCCCATAAAACTGTAAATGCCCCTGGCTGGCAAGTAATAGATGAACACCCAGCAGGGTCCACTCATTTCCACATCTTTTTTTCTTCTAGAAAAGGCCAAGGCTTTCCACAGTTTCCCAGACACTGTGACAGGGACTGAAGTGCCATCTTTAGGCAAGAAACCTGGAGATGAGGGCAGGGAAAGGGCCGGGAGAGGGGCAGAGTGAGAGGCAGAAGATCAAAATAGGCCAGTTAGGGAAGGGGGTTGGGGGGGGAGCTCTTGGTCAGCTCATTAACCAAGGCCTGCCTGCAGTTGCTCCTTCTCCAAAAAAACAAACAAACAAAATCAACAAAAACCGGCCAGGCGAGGTTTGGGCAGCATTCACTCAGGGGCAGAAGAATGAGCCAGACCCACCTCCGGAGGGAAAGCTCCTGGAGAGAATCCCTCAAAATACCATCTCAGGACACGGGGAGCTTGCTTACTGAACGCTTTTCAACTTTTGCAGGAGGAGGACTGTTTCTGGGTGAACTTGTCTGGTTGTTGGGGGCTGTTCTCCACACCTGGCTGCCCTGAGAAGGGACCCCGAAGGAAGGAACCCCCACCCCCTCTATCCCGCGCGCGGGCCGGAAGGTTTTGCTCTCTTTGGGGTACTGCGAGGGAGGTGTTGGGGGATGGGCAAAAGAGAGATGAGCTCCTAAAGGTTGTTTTAAGAGATTAATCAGCTAACTCAACCCAGCAAAGCAATGGGGAATCTTGACTCCTGGCTGGGAGGGCAAGGCTGGCCTGGGGACAGGGCCTGTGCTGCCTCTGGAGACCCCAGACCGAGTAGGAGGGAATCAGAGAGCTTACACCTATAGCCATGCTTTCCTCCAGGGGTGAATTTGGAGAAGGAAAAGAACTTTCAGGAAATGCAAGAGGGTTTTGTCTCCTTTCACTGTGGAGTCCATGCCAGTACTGAGTTTTTGTTCACTTTCCTTTTCCAAAAAATAAAAATATGTATGTCAAGGAGTTAAGAGAGATTTTTATTATTTCTCTTGTTCCAAATTTCCTTCCAAGAACCCCCGTGATTATCTACAGAAACGTGGTCCTGGTGTGCCAGGAGCACTTCCTAGGGACCCAATAGCTTCCATCGGTCCTCAAAAAAGGCTTTGGACTGAACTGCATCCAGACACCTTTCACGGGGTCCAAGCCCGCAGGCTGTAGCCGCTGGATGTGGGGGAGGCATGGAGGAAGGAGGGAGGGGCGTGTGGGCAAGGAGGAGGAGGGAGGGGGTGTGGGCAAGGAGGTGCCAGGGGCTGCCAGAGCCAGGAGGCAGGCAAGCCCTGCAGGCTCCGTGCCTCAAGTGGACACTGGGTCAGCCCCATCCGGGGACAGGGATGCTGGCCTGGCCTGGCTGGGGCTGCCTACTCTCCATCCTGCTAAGACAGGGGCCTCTCAGGCTCCCAGCCATTTTGTCCCTTTCCTACTTGCCGCTGGAGAGCTGGCGTGAGGCTCCTCTGGCTCCCTGCTCCTAAGCACCCTGGGCTGGGGGATCTCCCAGCCTGACGAGATAGTCTGACTTCCTTTCCTTTGTCAGGCGGTGGGGAGGATGACAGCTTCCTTTTCAGAGGGACCTTAAGAGTTAGCAACGGTTGTCTCCTCAGCAAGGCGCTGCTCAGTAGAGCAATTTTCTGTCTTGATTCACTCCGCAAGTTTGCGATTGACTTGCGTGGGTTTTACTTATTTTTTTCTTTTCTCCTTGTTGCCTCTAGGCCGTGACTTCCACAAACAACCAGTTTTCCTAATGGAGGCCCTGACTGTTTCCTGCTTTCTCTCTCTCTCCCCTCACTCACTGCCTAGTGTGAGCAACTCACACAGACACCTCTGTCTTAGGTGACAAGAACCACAAAGCTGCGTGGCCTCTTGACATTCAACAGCCATTTCAAACACCCCTTCGCCTCCGACTGAAATCCAGAAACGGGGCTGAAGGACAGGGGTGGGAAGCAGGGGTGGAGGTTGTGAAGAGGAAGGTGGAGTGAGATGCCCACAGGAGGTGGGCAGCTGAGAAGTGGCTATTTGCAGAAAGGCTTTGTCTTTTGTTTGCAAAGATCTATCCCAGCGCCAGCCCTCATTAGAAAAGCAATAGGTGCCCTAACCACAGCTTAACGGTTTCTCCAAAATGCGACAACCCTCTTCTCGGTCTCCTCCTTGGCAAGTGCAAAGAAGAGGTTTAAAAAAAAAAAAAAGCAACCACTAAAACCAAAAGAATCCCCCTTCTCAAGAATGGCCACCACTTCCACCGCCTTTACACAGAAAATGTCTAGAAACTTCCCCTCCCCGATCCCACACTCCCAAAAGTCCCGGCTCCCTGGATGCCCAGGTGTGCTGGCCTTGGTTTTTTGTTTTTTGACTGTGAGAAAGGAATAAGAGGAGGAAGTAAAAAGTCAAATTTCAATTGGCTCCTTATCTCTCTCCCTACACACACACACAAAATAAAATAGGTATATAGGTCCCCCCGATTCTGGTTTAGAGAAACCGCAGCTCTCCCCACCTCCCTAATGTTCATGTTCATATTCAGAGTCTTTAGGGAAAAGATGAGAGAAAGAAAAAAGACTAAACTAAGGGGCGAAGGTGTGCACAACACAGGGGGAGAAAGCAAACATGGAAATGAGGGCAGAGAAACCAGAGGCTTTTGGAAAAAGTCCTCTGTCCCCTCCCCCATACACAAACCACCACACCGGCCTCAGATACCACGATCTTCCCCCAAAACTTTTAGCCCCACCAGAAAAGAGAACTTAAAAAACAAAACCCCATCACTACCTCAAAATGCACAGGTCTGCTTTCTTTGCAATCAGACCTCAAGCCTTTGATCTAATCCCAGGTTTTCTGCAGAAAACTGCACCCCATTTCTCTCAAACCCTCCACTCAGTGCCAAGCCCAGCCCCTGACCAGGCAGCCAGGCCACTCTCCTGGCCCGCTCTCCCTCTTGCTTTCTGACTCCACCAGCAGCCTACCTCCCTCTCCCTCTGCCGACTTTCATGTACTGAACATGCAGGTCTGAGTTTTTCTGTCAGCCTAACCGCATCCGGACTCTATTAAAGTTCCTGGCTCGGGATAAACAATGCAACTGTCGCGTGCAGCAGTCTGAAAATAATTGGATTAGCTAAAACATATCAACTAAATAGAGACAGTCCTACCCAGGCAGTCGGAGTGAATGTCATCCTGGAAAAAAACCTGAAAACTGATCTCATGGTCACTGGGTGCCCAGAGCCCTCCCTCTCAAGTTTTCTAAACCGGGGTTTTGCCAGCTCTGTTTCAAGACTGCTCATCTCGCCCATAAAAAACAAGTAGTTTTCACCACTTCTTTGTATATAGAAACTCCACAGACGGAGGACAGAGGCAAGACAGTAGGAATGGACCGGGACAGTCACCCACCCTGAAATGGACACACCCACCACACAACAGTCTTCACAGAATCATCTCTAAAAACATAACTGAATCTCATCTCAGTGAATCCCTAGCTTTCTGATTCAACTGCTTTGGTTAGAAATAAAATTAGTGGTAGTTTCTTTCTTTCTTTCTTTTTTTCTTTCTTTCTTTCTTTCTTTTAAATTATTTTGTGTGGGTTGGGAGGTGGTGGACATTAATGCAAGTGTTTACACCAGGAAAATAAATAAATAGTGCGCTGTTAAGACAGGGTGTGTGCTTTTTGGAGAGAGGATGAGCAGAGGAAGCACAGGCACACACCTGAGATCTGTTGCAGTCCTTCCCACCTCCTCTGGCTTCAGATCCATCCGGGACTCTGTCCTGAGACACCGGCCTGCCCCTGCCCGGGCTGCAGGTACCTGGCCCTGTCTGCTTTTGATTTACACGCAGCCGCTTCCCGAGGACAGAGCCTCCCTTGCTGTCCCAAAAGTTACCATGAGGACCCCCTTTTCCACGCAACGAATATGTGGGCTGCTTTTGCAGCATCACGCCCAGTGCAAAAAAGATATATACACTTTATTTACACATGTCTGTAAAAAGGGCTGTCCTCTGCTGACTGAATGACCCCGGTAGAGCTGGGCGGAGAGGAACAGTCAAAAGAACTCAGAGGCCAGGAAGGGTCAGAGGAGGGACCTGTGTTTGTTTAGGTTTCAGGAGGTTTCGTTTTAGCATTAAACACTAAAGAGTTATTCCCTCGCCTTCCATTTGGTCTTGGAAACTGACTGAAGGTTACTGGCAGAGCCGGTCAGCCTCCCCCCACCCCCCAGCAGGCAGGCAGGGGAGGGTTTGTGTTTGTGTTTGTCTCTCTCCTTTCTCAGCCCAATGGGGGGGTTCAATTAGATCCCACTGCCACGCTGCTCTGAAGACTGACTGAGAGGGGGCACACCTCGTTCTTTGCGGCTGTTAGAATGGAAAGAAATCACATCTCAGAGGGGTCTGGGGCAGCACCCAGTGGAGCCAGCCTGGGCTCCCCTTTCCTTACCCCGGATTTAGGAGAAGGAAGAGGCAGAGGAGGAGGAGCGACCCCAGGGGAGAGCAGGCGCCTACCTGTGCTGGATCTCGCCTTGGGCCTCGACTTGCACCCAAAGCCGGTGGGAGAGCCCCCGAGCAGGGTGCTAGGAGGGAAGAGTCCGGAGCTGTATTCTGGGACGTAGGGCGGGTAGGTGGTGATGGGGTGGTGCGCCGAGGATGCTGCCCCTCCCAGGGTGGTCATGCTGCCCCGCGAGTGTGAAGACTCCAGCTTCATGCTGTCGGGCAGCGGCACCTGGTACTTGATACATTCCTTCTCATCCTGCCGGCCTGAGCCCGCCGAGCCGGGCGTGGACAGGGACGGGTCCGGGGAGACGTCCTTCGGCGGGGTGGGCGGAAAAGTGAAGAGGTGCGGGCTGGAGTGGCCCGCCGACAGGGAGGAGGACGAGGCTGGGGGATAGACCGAGAGAGGCCCCGGGGAGCCGTGGTGGATGGACGTCTTGGAGAAGGGGCTGAGGTTCCAGGGCGAAGCGGTGTGGTGGCTGCCCAGGGCTTTGCCACCGTCCAGCCAGGGCAGGGATCCGTGCAGCAGCGGTGGGCGACACACCTGGCTCCCTGCGGGAAAGGGCAGGAGGCAGAAAGGCTGGTGAGAACAGCCCGGAGGCCCTCGGATTCCCCTCCACCCCAGTCTCCCTGACAGGAAAATCCCAAACACAGACCGGACCTGGGTGCAGGCCCACTCTCTCTAATCCAGGTGGTGCCCCGAGTACCTTGGGCAGCACACACTTCATCCCTCCCTCCCACACAAATGTCCCATCAAAGCCCGAAGCATGAAGGGCCTGTGTCTGACACCCAAGAGGTGCTGAGATGGAGTGAAGAAGGGCCCCTTGGCTTATTGGCCTCTCCAGATACACTTTCTAAATCACATCCCCTGCGGTCCCTCTCTAGAACCTGACTTGATTTATTGGCTTCCTTCAATGGCCGGGGTCCCCCATCCTAGACCTAATCCCAGCCAGCCTGATAAGAGTCAGCTGTGAGTGATGAGGCCTGAAGGGGTGAGCCTGGTCTCACCACTCAACACCAGGAAAATCCACTGGCCTGGAGACAGGCCAGCAGCAGTGCCCAGCTCCCCGTGCCCAGAGCAGGAAGGAAAGGGCTGGGAAGAGAGGAGAGGGGAGCTTCTTAGGGTCCCTTGCAGGGAACCCTACTTCAGTGCTTGCTCATAATTGGCAAGGCCTGATACGGGATTTGCAGGGAAACTGTAAGTGTTCAGACTGCTGGAGAAAGTTCTCAAGGCTGTGCCCTGGGATGCCTTTCTCACCCTCCCCAATCCTGTAGAAGAAAATAAATGAAGGTCCAGATGCCCTCCAAGTTGTCCCTCACACAGTGTGATATGTGAATGTTCACCTGAGCTCCTGATACACACAATTCCAGCTCACGTGTATGTTTCGCTCACACACGGCTGAAGGTAGCCATAACCCAGACAAGTCCATACATCCACTCTGAGAGGGGGGAATTTAAACTGCAAGTTCAAATCCACACACACCTTGATCTTTTAATCCAGGGCCTGCCTCAGCGTTTGACGTTCTATTTTAACCATTAAGAACAATACTGAAACTAAAATCTTAAGAGGGAGGAAGGGGAGGAGAGAGGAGGGGAAGGAGAGTTCTCTGAACACCAAGGGTCAAGATTCAGATTATGCAGGAAGTAGTATAGTAAATAGTATGAAGTCTGCATCCACGCATTTCCACTGAACTGCTGATCTGCACCGAACAAGGGCAAAGAGCGCCCCATCCGCAGAAACAATGGTTGAAACGTGGTGACAGCAGGGCGGAGGACGCCTGCTGCCGGAGGGGCTCTGTCATCTCCGCCAACCCCGGCACTGAGAGAGCCTGGCGCGTGTGAAACTTTGCTATTTCTTCTTTAAAAACCACCCTTGCTGCTGGCAAGCGCTAGTGCCCCCTCCCCACCCCCAACCCCAACTACACAGGGCTGGGTTTCTTTTTAGCATTTCAGAACTCCCAAACTTCTCAAGGTGAAAGAGAAAGGAAAAACAAAGTTAAGGCAACTGTAATCGCTCCTCCATAAAAAAAGAAACCCTGGTGGATCCTCAACCTTCTTTAGGAGCCTCAGGGACTGTTGTAGGCCCGGGGAGATGGGAAGGCCGTCGTAGCGGGGAGCAGCAATGGGGCAACCTACAAGCAAAGCCGCAGGAAAATTCTGTGCAGCCGGGAATCTAGGAAACCGCAAATGTCTCCACCTTAGGACAGGAGTCTTTCCACCTAAACCCCTTACAGCACCGCAAGTCCATTCCTCCGGGCGCAGGCGTAGCTAGACCTGCCTAGAAACCTAAGGTACTCGCGGAGCAGTCAAAATCAGGGCTGTGAAGAAAGGCGGCTCTCGGGCCTTTCTGGAAATGTGTTCGCTGGCAGAAGGAGCTACGAGATAGCTGGAGGAGCGAAGCCCTTTGCAAGAACCGAGTCTGAGCCGCTTTGGGCCAGCGCCGGGTGCCGGCGGGGAGCCTGGCTCCGGGCGCCTGAACCCTCGGAGGCCCCCGACCTGCGGCAGCGCGGGGAGACGGGGCTGCAGCCCCGCGCCTGCCAGGTGAGCGCCGGGCCCCAGGGACTCCAGCCGCGGAGAGGCGCCTCCGGGACTGTTGTGAAAAACACACTCTCAAGACGGTCGAGACGGCTTCCTCGCCCATTTCCGGGCCCCAGGTTTTTAAAATGAAGCACTAACGGCGCTGGGAGCTTCGGCTGTGTCTCCCCACCCCGGGTCCCTAACGGGCCTCCCCGACCTGGGGCAGCGGGGTCTCCGCACCCGGGCGGACTCACCGTGGTGGGTCGGCGGGTACCTCTGCACCGTGGCCTCACCGAGTTTCCGTAGTAGGGCGGGACGTGGTTGCCTTGACCGTCGATGTTAAAAAGTACATCCACCTCCTCGGGCAGGGGGTACTGCGCTGGGTCCATGTAGGAGTGGCTGAGGCCCGGGTGGTGCGTGTCTGGGTGCTGCCCGTTGAGGACCGCAGGGTGGTGGTGGCTCACCCAGCGCGGCTGGTCTGCCGTCACCTCCATGGCCCCGGCTGCGCTCGCGCCCTCTCGCCGGGCCCGGAACCCGCGGGTGGAGAGGGAGGGCGATCGGTCTGGGCGGTCAGGGGGTGGGGGCTCCGAGGATCTGCAGGTGAGCTTGCCGTCGGAGGAGCAGGACTCGTTTAATGATTTGTTTTCAGTATGGGAATGGGAAAGGTGGGAAGGAAAGATGAGCAAATGAGATTTTTTTTAAAAAAAATCTTTTGAGTGGTAGTTTAGCAAAGAGAAGAGGAAGAAAAAAAGAAATTTTAAAAAAACAGGTACAGAGGATAAAGGGGCCCCAAACTGCAAAGGGGGGCGAGGACAGCTGGAATTCTGCAAGGGAGGCTCTTCTCCAGCGGCTCCAAGGCGGAGGCCCTCGTCGAGTCACCTGCAAAAGAGAGAAGGGGAGACCTGGGTGAGCTCCGAAGTTCTTTGGCACCTGAGTTTATGAAGTGGCACCACCTGCCCTCGAGCCGCCGGCCCGCGCCCCGGGACACGCACACACACGCGCACACGCGCGCACCTCCTACGGAGCTGGGAACACCCGGACGCAGCCCAGGAGGGAAAGACTCCCAATGGACATCCCCGCAGCCTGGCTCTCCCGGGAGCCCAGGAGCCCGGGACTGGCTGAGCCCTTCCAACTCGGACGACACTCCCTCCCTCCGGGGGGACACCGGTCCCAGGAACTTTCTTCCAGCCTCTAGAAACTCTCCAAAACAGGAGGGTTGCGTTTTAAATGTTGTACAGTTTTCCCAAATGCAGAGAGGGGGGAAATCAAACTTAAATAAATAAATAAATAAATAAAAGTCGCCGGTACCAACCTGGTTAGCGAGGAGCAGAGAGGAGGAGGAGGAGGAGGAGGCGTGTGACCTGGAGCAGAGAGTGCTCCGTCAGATTGCGTGGCTTGCTCTGTCTTGCGCTCTCCCCGTCTCTCTCTCTTTTCCTCTCTCCCTCTCTCAGTATTTTTTTTTTTTTTTTTTACAGGGAATGCATTCTTTCTGAAAGTATCAAGACGGCGCCAGGCAGCTCAGTGTTCGCAGACAGCTGTGGCGCGACGCAACTTAAGGAGGTTCTAGTGTCATCTGCGAGAGAGGGAGGAGCCTGGCGCTGGCGAGGAGGGGACAGCCTCCCCCGCGCAAGGAAACTGCAACCCAAACCCGCTCCGGGGCTTCACCCCCAGCCCCTCCTCTCGCCCCTGCACTGACCGGAAAGGGGCGCCTAGCAGGGCGGCCAGGGCGGGGAGCCCGGGGGCGGCGGGTGGGCGAAGCGGCCGGGGGCGGGGGCGGGGGCGGGGGCGGAGGGGGGCGGGCAGGAGGGAATTCGCGCTCTGGCCCTTTAAATGTGGCTCCAGCTCCTGCCAATTCTTTCCGGCTGGGTGGACTATTCCTTGCCGGAGAAACCGGCCTGCTCCATTCATAAACTTAATTTCTACAGGCAGAGTTGCTTTTTCAGACTTTTTAAGTGAGCAATTTTTTTATTATTATTCATTCTGGGGAGTATTGAGAAGTTCATTGACTTGGTGCTATGAGCATGTAAAACTGATCAGAAAAAAAACAAAATTAACGTCCAAGTACTTTGAGATTTGCCTCTGGAGAGAAATGTCTGCGAGTTGAGAAACCGGGCAAGAGAAATATGCCTTTGATTGAAACTCCGCGTTACTTTTGGAGTCGTTGTCAATACGTTCCCTGGCCTTTGGAGTTCACAAGCCTCGCGAAGGTCTCAGCTGTTGCAGCTGTCCTTTTCAGACCCAATATTTGTAATCGAACTGTGCTTTTGACTTCAGTGGCAAAAGTGGATGGGATGGATGAAAAGGAAAGAGGGAGGAAGACTCCAAATAGTTCCAACTGCAGTGAGGGATTGGAAAGGCGGGACTCGGGTCTTCACTCCAGTGACCCAACTTTTCCTGACTTACTCCGATTCCCAGCGTATTTCCCCAGCCTCCTTCAGCGGCCGCGGGGCAGGACCGCGGCGACCTCGCCGGGCTTGGGACTCGGGCCGCGGAGCCCCAAACCCGGGGCGGAGGGAGCGCAGCTTGGAGACGCCCCGCAAAGGGCGGGGCGGAGGCGGGGCTGGAAAAGGAGCCAATCAGCGGGCGAGGCTATGGCCGGGCCGCGATTGGCCGGCCCCGCGGCCTCCAACCTCCGCTGCCCGTCCCGGTCCTTTGAGCCACTGCATCCCCTAGTGGCGCTCAGTCTCCTGCAGCCGCGCGGCCCGCCGAGGTGGCCGGGGCGCACAGGGGTCAGGCGGAAGAAGACGCAGGTTCCACCCTCCGTTCCCCCAGCACAAAGTGTGAGATGAGAGAGCGAGAGTTCTCCCGCAGGCTTTCCCACGGACGGCACTAAGAGCTTGATGTGGGTTCTATTTGAATGGAAGACATTATTCCCTTTTCGCTCCTCCACCCCATAAAATTCCGTCAGATACAAAAATTGGAGCTGGAGGATTCCTTTCATGCAAAAACATCGATATTCAAATTCAGCCTTCAGTTGGTGAGGGGGAGTTGTTTTAATACACAATCCTTATAGAAAGATGAGTAACATTTATTTTGAATAAGTGGAGAAAACGTGGGTCCTCCGGGTCGTGGATTTGGAGTTTCTCTGGAGTCTCCATCTCCTTAAACCTGGTGTTTTTAGAAGTCGGTGGAACAGGAAGAAAATCCCTAAATGAAGCACCACCACCACCACCCACCCACCCGGTTCCTCCTGGGCCCGTTTCGTCCCCGGCTGTCAGGACGGCCCAGTAAAGGAGCATCGATCTTCCTTTCTCTCTGACCACTGCTCTCTAGGGCCAGTCACGCTGCCAGCCTCTGCTGCTCACAGCGCTCTCCAAACCTTTTAATTATTTAGCTTCTAACATTCACCGGAAACCGCTCCACAAACCGGGACAGAGGCACGCGCACACACACATTTTTGCTAAAAGTCCCGAGATTGAGATTAAGAATGGAAGCAGAAAAAATGAACAGCGCTTCTCCGAGCGTCAGTCCAGGACCAGGATAGATGCGGGCCTGACCGCTGTCCAAAGCCACCCCATTCCTGAGGCCGCGAAGGATAAAGGGAATCTGTCCCGTGGAGAGAAGTGCTGCCCACGCCAGAACTTGAACATGTTAACTTCTGAGGCCGAGAGCGATTTTTAAAAGACAAAGAGAAAAGATGTGTGAGAAGGAGGCCTTCCGGTGTAGCGGCGCCTCTCTGATAACCTACCATACTGGGGGGAGGGGGGGGGCATTATTCGTTTTAATTAAATCACAGGCACCCAAGTCGGGCTGCACTGGGATGGAGAACCCCCACCCCCCGACCACCCTGAAAAAAATGAAAGCTCTGTAAGGCCCCTCCAGGTCTGGGTGGTTTGGAGCTGGCAGGGAGGCGCGGGGGCTGCGGCTGGATACCCGGTGCAATGGAGCCAGCCTGTAGGGGGTATTTAACATTTAATTCCCAGCCGGTCCGCCCCTGTTCCCGGACTGACAGTGGGTAATTGGGAAAGAGGACGTTGCTCTTTTGATGGCCCGCGCCGGCCAGTCTCGCCGACGCCACACTGTGTTTGACGTCACGGGCCCAGCCCCAGAGCCGGGAGCACAGAGCAGGGGGGTAGCGGGGGGGGGGGGGGGGGGGGGGGAAGGAGGAAAAAAGGGAGGGGAGGGGATCCCGGGGGGGGGGGGCCAGGGCGGCCCTTGGACCCCCCGGAAAGAAAGGGGAAAGGAACCCCGCTTGAGAAAAGTTTCGGCCCCTTGCCTTGAGGGGGAAAACCGGGCTTCGGGGGGCTAGGCTTAGGCAGGGGCCGGGTAAAACCCCCTTCGCGGGAAAAAGGGGGTGGGGTTTCTTCCCCCCCGGGGGGGGGGGGGGGGGGGGGGCTCCGAGCCGGGGAAAGGGG